GTACAACTGGGGAAACACAATATATTGCAAAGATAGGGAACATGTTTTAGGACCAGTGCTTATGTTTTAATTTCTGAGAACAGACTGTGACCTCATACATAAAAGTTATGGGCAGTTCTCTGATATTAAGGTGTGGCCAGTCACAAATACTCATTTGCCCAATAGGATATTGGTGAGATTGTTCTCTGTCACTCTGTTTTAATTCCTTATCAGACTTTCAACCTCTGCAGTTTAACTTGATCTCTTTTTTTTCAAGGGAGGGGATGCATACAGCTTCAAATACTGCATTAGCCAGCCATCATTTTTATTTTCTAAGAATGTGCTACCCCATCCATGAGAACAGGTGGCATACAAAAAGTTGGAAGTAAATAAATAGTGTTGAGATGCTAAATTCTGCATGATGTTACAAGCTGGTAACTTCTTTTAAGGATCTTTATTTCTGTGAACACTAAGCAGGGCAGAATGTCGGGTGTATGCCAAGAAAAGCAACAGAAGCATATTATTCTTCAGTAGCACTATGTAAGACATAACAAAAATATATAGAGAAGCACAAGATGAAGCAAGTACTGTTGAGTACCATTGCTATGTTGGAAAAGTATTTCAATAAGTAGGGAGCATAAATGCTGTATTTGATATGGGCTTTTAACCTACGGATGCCTACTGTATTTTTTTTTTTTTAAGTAAGTTTTTCCAGAAATACCAGGTTGGTGTGTGCATCACTAAAAATTCAAAAACTGTTTGTCACATATAAAGAGACTGTTCTATAAAGCTTTTGATAGACTCAAAGCTTTTGTCACAAAGGGCTTAAAACAGTTTTTGATTAAGAGGAGTAATAGCAGATCAGACATCTGCAATACCTGTTATATACCAATACCAATAGAACCACAAACTACAACTTCCTTGAGAATACCAATTTATTTATATATTCATAATGTAAATTACAATTTTTGAGAATAATGAATTATTGCAAAAAAGAAGAAATTTAAACTTGGTATTGGAAAGCACACAGAGACTGGAATTCTCTAGGTTTTACTGTTGTAATTTCCAAGATACTAAGAAGCTGAAAGTGCTTCATTTTAAGCAGAAATTAATAGTAATCCATAATGATGCACTGCTGATCACTTGTATGGAAATATATATCTTGGGTATTTAATTGAGTGTCCTTTAGGAACAACTTGTTTAATTTGATGTTTATAATTTTTGAAGGATTTGAATGTTTCTGCATTGACAGGAACATTCCAGCAAATACGTGAGTAGGCAAATTAAGAGATTTTAGTGAGAATGATTTAAAATAACTCGACTCAAAATATATGTTAAAGGATATTTCCTCACCCACATCTTCAGTGCAGAAAAATGTCAGCATCTGTGAGAAAAATTATAATGTGTGATAGATGTCTTAAGAGATTGGGAATCTGCTATTAGTCAAATTAGCCACAGAAAATTATTTTCTAATAATTTAATAATTATTAATAATTTTGTACTCAAAGCAAAGGCTTCTAAAAGAAATGTTCACCCTGGAAATCTACAACAGCATGAAATTAGCCAAGTAGTAGTATGAACTTGTAACTCACTCACAGAGCTCTCCTTTTTACAAACCCAGTGTATCTCCATTAAAATAAAGCTCCTGTGAAGAAAGTGGAATGGATAAAAGAGTGGCTTGTAATACTGAATTCTGACATGCATGTTAATGGAATCTTGACAAGTATATCTGATTTCTATAAGTACAGTTTACAGTGATTACTTTTGAATTGCAATATGCTGAACTTCAATATTTGTGGAGATTTACTTGTTAGTTCTTCTAAACTACTCCTTTGAGTCTTTACTTGAACTATTTATTCTAATTAAAGATTTCTTTGACAAGAATTATCACATGATCATAGTAAAACTCAATAAATTAAATTTTGTTCACACAAAACTTAGCAAAAAGAACAAGGAAAGAAAAGTATAGTGTGTGCTTCCTTAAGAACATTTTGTACCCTTTTTCTTAACATGGGGAAGTAGGGAGAGAAGAGAGACCAAAAACAAAGCTAAAAACAAACATTTTGAATAATTATGCTTATAATATTGATAATGATACATATTACTATTTAAATTAACACATTTATCAATACCCAAAGTATATTTAAGCCATAGTTTCTACTTTCCATAATATACATTTATTTAAAAGGGCAGGGAACTAACTCTATAATTCTTCATGGCATGCTCCAAAATAAACACGCCCTTGTAGCCTCACACATATTTTTAGCAATCCCTTTGGACCCTTAAGGACTTCAAAGATGTAAAGAAAATCCTTGAGAACTAATTCACCTTCTTATAGTCTTCTTTATTTTTCTAAGATATTATTCAAAATTCCCGGCTCAAAGTTGTTATTAGAAATGTTGACCATATGGAAGAATTGAATGGAGTGTGCCTCTGTTTGTATATTCCTCTTTATGAGTAAATCATTGCAAAAAACCTTTCAATTTGCCAGATCAGAATTTTCTCCCAAAGAATTACCTTTTTCCTTATAAGTGAATCAGTAAAGGTGAATTCAATTGTTCTCCAGAAGCAAGTTGTTAATTCACACAACTTGAAACTCCCTTAATTTTTTAAACTGTTCAGCATGTTTCCTTTCTTTTAGTCCATCCTCATTTCAGTTCTAGAACTATCAAACCCTTTATGATTATTGTAACTAACTCCCCCTGAATGTGCCTGTTAGAGTACAACATCTGCCTATTCTGCCTATTCTACGAGTTGACAATTTTGAGTTCACACTTAATATCTCAAACTTAAGTGTGATCATTTATAGTTTTTAATGTAATTTGAAACAAACATTCAGGGTCCCTTTAATGTTTTGCTACCTATCTTTAACATCATTGCCAGAGAATATTATTTAGAATGAGCCTTTTCTTGGCTAGTCTTGGATGATGGTAATCTGATTACATTTGAATCTGGATCTAAAATCTCAGATTCTATAGAAACATTTTATGCAATATACAAGTTTAAATTGCCACTTACAGTTTTCTAAAGTAGAAATAGAAGTAACAATTTTCTAAATCACTAAACCTGTCATTTTTATACCACATTGTGTGAAATGATTGCTTGTACGAACAGCGGCCTATAAAAATGAGACTTCAAGTAGTCAGAAGTACTTTTTATGTAATGAATACCTGTGCTTTACTTTTCTGAATAAATTACTCAAGATACATGTCTGAAGAGTATAGTTAGTCAATTGATAGTGGTAATATCACTCTCTATTTGTGAGTTTCTCCAGAGGCATAGAGCTGCATACAGCTGAAAGCAAAGTATTATACTATATAAGTCATATATGATCTAGCAGTAGTATTATTTGAAGAGTTGGATCTCAATAATAACTTAATTAGAATGCATGTGGTAGCAAGATATTTTTAAACAGGTCTAAGTGGTGGTTTTTAATTTTCTAGAGATTCATACAAAGTCGGTCTATTGGAGATGTTTTTTAGGCTTTAAACTCTAGATAAGTAAATGGATCTTGACACCTAGGCTGTAAACATTAAAAGCATCAACAGTTCTCAAATTTTGCCCTAGCTTCCCCACAACTCAATATTATAAAATAAAGATACCATGGCAACCAAGAATAATTTAAAAACATATTCATAAATGAGCTTGATATGCAAACAGAAACTCCAAGCTCATAATATTAGATTTTGATGTTGTTATCGGAGCTGAATACATTTCCTATTCCTAACATAAACCAAACGTTGCAGTTACTGCAATATATCAAAAGAGTTAAAAGTATAAGAAAATCAGGGTTACTTGAGAGAACTGTGAAATGAAAAGCACATACTCAGATATACTTATGCAAGAAGTGTTTGCAGGGCACAACCACAGCAAATTTCATTTTCACACATTTGATAAATCTTGCTGCTCATTTTTTTAATCCTCTCTATTGATTCTACATGCTACAAAACTGCTTTCTTTTTCAGATCAAGAACAATTAAAATATTCTAGTTAAAGTGAATAACTCATGAGTGATTCCTCTGGAAATTCAGTATTCAAATTGGCACTAATTGAAGCAGTTCAGATACCCAAATTATTTTCAGTGACTTAAAACATTTCTATTTCAGGACTTTTCTGCATAAAATGACAGCAAGATTCCAGGCATTTTCTAGCCAAACCTCAAAAAGAGCCTGGTAATTCAGTTTGTGTTAAATAGTCCTTATTAAAAACTATCTTGTCTTAAGTGTATGTTTGTGTTTGTGTATGAAAAAAAAATGCAAAAAGAAGAGACCGAAAGGCACGTTTGCAAAATCAATTGTGCAGTTTTTATTTTACTGCACTTTTATCACATATGTCATTTATTACACAGTGGAAAACCGTTAAATGCACAGTAGTTGTGCCAAGTGGCATTATGCTTTTAACAGCTTTATTCGTTTAACAGTTCCAGCTCTCATTATATTTTGCCATGTGGTACGTGAGATTTTTATTCTTTTAACAGTGTATAAAAGGGATCCATGGCATTTTCCTTTTATGTATTTTATATTGCACTCATATTTTTTTTATTTTCTGTGAATATTAAGCCTTAGGCAAAACTAAAAACAAGGGGTGTATCAGGAAACAAGAAGTGTTAGAAGAAAAAGGAGATAAGAAAGGCTCGGATCCATTTTATAATCAAAGCAATACTATTAATGTGTAGGGTTACAATATTTCTGTTAAGATTAGTATGTGACTATTTTCACTTTGTATGTTTTATTATTGTTCCATTTTGTCTTTTTACTGAATGGGAAAAAACACTCAAAACAAAAAAAAATAGTGATTATAACTCTTTAACATAAAAAACCACTATCATTCAGAAGTCCTTATTTTATAGTTTTGGATTTTTTTAAAAAAAATTAGTCTATTTAAATCCACAGAAAGGAATTATTCTGGAGCAAAAGCACAAATAAGAAAAGATTGTATAGGTGTATTTTATCTGTAGAAGGGATGTATCCAATTTCATCCTCAAAGGTATTCCTGCTCTTAAAAGATAATCCCCTACTCACCTGACTTTTGTTGGCAGCTACTTTGGCGAACAAAGCCTGAGACACCTTGGCCCTTTTCATCTCCTGTTGGATCTCGTCATAAATGGCAGCTGTGATGTTGATGTTGGCTCCGTCCACCTTAATGGGGAGGTCTGTTGTCGGTGTTGAGGTTTTGGCCTACCAAGAGACCATGAAAATAATAATTAAAATAGTGCTGCTTTCAGCCCAGCCATCTGTGCAGAAATTATCAAAGGATTTCAGTCAGCTGATGCCAAACTGCATTAGCTACAGAGGGACACTTCCTGTCCATTATTCTAATCAGGTTAATTGTGATTGGAAATAATTGCAGGGCATTCCTGTAGGACATACAAAGCATGTGTATGCACTCTCACTCTCTTTTTCTACAAACATACACATGGTATTCTTCAATTGCTCTGACTTTCAGCACACACAAAAATATATACTAGGAAATTAAAAGGTTATGTAGTAGATGAAGTAATGTTTAAACAGTTATTTTATTCAACTTGTCCTCAAATACAACATATTATGTATATGAATATTTCAGTGTTTGCTCCCTCCCCCTCCTCCCCCCAAAAATCATACCTTGGAGCAGTGTTTCTCAACCTTGACAATTTTAAGGCATGTGGACTTCAACTCCCAGAATTCCACAGCCAGCAATGCTGGCTGTGGAATTCTGGGAGTTGAAGTCCACATGCCTTAAAATTGTCAAGGTTGAGAAACACTGCCTTGGAGGAAGGGCCAATTCTTCCAGGAAAAATGAGTAAATGCATAGAGGTCTCTAAATAATAAATTATTACTCAATTTAATGTACTCCCACAAGTCTCTTTCATCCTTTATTAAAATTATACGTATGTCATTTGAGTATGTATGGTCTCCCATCATTATGCTGGCTAGACAGTCACCTAATTTCACCTAGGAAATCAGTGGGTATGAAAAAAAAGATTAATAACTCTATGCCTGCCAGTGTGCTTGATATGCTGCCATTGACTTCATAAACCCACATTGCAGCTGGGTACATTCCATTATACTCCTTTTAAATAAATGATTTCCTATCAATTTCTGTGACAATTGAAGGACACTAATGAGATAATATTTCCTTCACAGATAAATGTACTAAAAGAACTGAGATGGAATTTTGCTGCACAAAAATCTAGAAATCTACTACACATTACAATGGCTACTAATTTCACTAAAGTCAAATCAGTTATTGCAAGAACTAATAAATTATGCTGAACAACCGTTTCAATCAAGCAATAGTTTAAAGAAACATGTAGAATACACAGTAATAACCAAGGATTCTACTTAAGCTAGGCTAGAAGACCTCCAAGGTCCCTTCCAGCTCTGTTAAGCAAGGTTTTAGCAAACTGAACTACATGTTAAAGCAAAAAGTATAGTTAGAAAAGGATTGGAAGAAATAATAGCACTTCCTCCATGCTGTTTCATTAGAACAGCATATAAAGTAAGATTTTATATTGATTGAAAGTTTAACAGGGTTATATACTTTATCATCTTTAACAAAAAAAGAGATGTCTTAATAAGGTATTATTAAAAGGAAGTGTGGGATTTTGTCTTGTATTTGAGAACCAGGTTTATGGCTCATTTGTTCTGTATTTGATAAACACAGATTTAAAACTTGCTGTAATATAAATGTCTCAGGTATATATTTTTTTAAAAAAGGATTAGAACCATTTTGGAATATGTTTGCCTGTATTCTGTGGTCAATTTGGAGAAGCCTGCTCTGAATTATTCCATCATGATTTGTGGCCTGAAGAAGCAGAATATTCTTTATCATGGCATTGAAATTATAAAATTAAAGGGAAGTTTGCCTGGTTCCAGTTTCATTAGCTTGTCATCATGCAATATAAAAAAAATATTTTCACCCAATTTTATGATTATAAATTGCATTATTAACGGGGCTTGAAAATTCACTTTTTTCTAGTGTGTTAACAAGGTTGTTTACAGTTGCTGCTTTGTAATTTTATAATTATTACATTTATTTTTTCAAATAGACAAAATGGAGCAAACACGAAAGAATGGAGTACATAAATATACTTTGCTAAAATCTGTTTTTTTAAAATATCCCTTAACTTTTAACAAAGAACAAATTAAACAGCAGAAGCCCACATTTAAATATTGTCATATTCATCTCAAAACATTTGGACTCTTTTTTTTTCCTGGTCAGTTTGGCATTGATTACCTACTACCAAATACACATTCCAAAACAGAACTTGATCAGTTTGAAAGCTACAAATGGAGAATTATAATTTTTAAAAAGCAATGTAATAGGGAAGAAAATGGACATTTACTATATTTCTTGATACTCTGAGATTATCTACTATACTGCAAAATTGTATCACAGATTGGTATCTATGGAAACAGTATTTTTTATATAGGATTAACTTTGGCACCAGGAAAAAAAATGTCTTTCGTTTCAAATATGTTTTCTCCTGTCTGCCTATCTTGGCTATTTCTTAAAGCATTCTTCTAGCATTAAATTATTCTTCTCAGTACTATGATTTAAGCAAAAAAAACCCCACCATATATGCATTGTAAAAAAAAAAGTTAATATATGGAAATTTTCCCTGCTTCCGCAGGAGGAGGTAGCTTATACCATTGCTGATTTTGTTTTTTTTCTAAAAGAAATCTATTCGTTCTCTAGGTAATTTCCTCACTTCTCTAACTTGGATATGATTCACAGCCGTTGTCCAAATGAACTGGCATAAATCTTATAGTTATCTTTTTGGATTCTTACCAGGGTGACCAAATGAGTTTTCATTTACAGGCATCTTATGTTTTCCATAGGGAGGCCAACCAAATATCAAATATTACAAGGCTCCCAGAGTTATTGTTAGCTGCCCAGAGGCCCTTATAAATTCTTTCAATCAATCAACATTTGTTATCTTTCCAACACAAAGAAAAGCCCCTTTTAAGTTACATTTTACCTTTGCTGTTCATTTTGTCCCTCTTCTATTTTTAGTAATGTTATACTTTTCTCTGTTAAATATTGTAACTTTTAGCTGTATCCTGCTCTAGAAATTATTAGCCTAAGGCTCAGGCATAAAAAAGAGGAGATCAATCATCATCACCATCATAATCTATAGTAACGGTTTGTGATTATAATCAAATGTTCTTAAAGACAGAAAAGAACACCGATACCTGGAGAATAAGTGCATGGAGTGAAGCAAAACAGACATAAATGCCAACTTTTCACATATTGCATATGTTCAGTTCCACCACCCTCCTTCTCTGTTTTGATAACCTCCCAAATTCTAAATAAACATATAGTCATCTCTAGCAACATCACCAAAAATTAGTATAAGAATGTCCTCAATAAAATGAGAGTGAGAGTTGTGCCTGAACTCATTTTTCCTACTGAATTTATCATTCAATTTTTTGTCCGACTCCTATCTCTTCTCCACTTTAAAAATGAATAGAAAACTATGTATTAGATAAAACGTATCCCAATACATAATGTGAATGAGAAGTTTGTGCATTGTTTAGGTAAAACATACTTGAAAAAACATGTAAAATGCATACAAAATGTGTATATTTAGAGAAATATGTAGAAACATTTGTACATATTTAATCTTTTAAATTTTAATCTTTTTACAATATTATACATAAAGTAAATGGTAGTACAACTATATAATGATATAAAATACAATGTGCTGTACTTTGAAAAAAGTCTATTTTGTTTAAAAAAACTATATAGTGTGGGAAAAATAGCAAAGATAAAAAGAAAAAAATATTTATACAAAATTATACTATGCCAAATTACTAAGGGGAGATAAAGAAAAAATCCTTAGAAAACAAAACCCTTTTAAAAACAAATGAAATAAACAAAACTAGAAACTCAAAAAAGTGCATATGTTAAAAAAAGATAATAGAAAAAGAATGGAATGAAATGGCATGGCATGGCATAGCATGGCATGGAATAGATTAAAATAGAATAGAATAGGTCCAGCCATTAACATCACTTAGCTTTTTCCAACTTCAGCAATATGATCCAATTTTAAAAAAATTATGATTTTTTCAAATTTGCTAAAGAGTAAAATGTTATAGGTTTGCTAATCCAAAGACTGATCCCCTGTCTTCAAGCATTTATTTATGCTCTGTAAGCCATTTCATACCAGCTGAATGCTTCCTGTCTTCTCTATTTTAGAATAGATTAGAGCTGGAAGAGATCTTAGAGGTCTTCTAGTCCAGCCCCCTGCTCAAGCAGGAGAACCTACATTATTTCAGACAAGTGACTGCCTAGTCTCTTCTTAAAAACCTCCAGCGATGGAGTGCCCACAAATTCTGAAGACAAGCTGTTCCACTGATTAATTGTCCTCATTGTTAGGAAGTTTCTCCTTAATTCCAGGTTGTTTTTTTCTTTGGTCAGTTTCCAACCATTGTTTCTTGTCTTGCCCTCTGGTGCTTTGGAGAATAGTTTGACACCCTCTTCTTTGTGGCAGTCCCTCAAATACTGGAATACTGCTATCATGTCACCCCTGTTTCTTCTTTTCTTTAGGACAGTGGTTCTCAACCTTTTTAATGTCGTAAGTCGAGGACTACTCAACCGGTCGTAAATCGAGGACTGCTCAACTGGTGCAGCACCGTTTGCAGAATGGGACTTTTGGCGAGCTCAGCAGGGCAGAGACAGCCTGGACAATTCCTATTGGCTTTTGAAAGCCAATAGAATTAGACTCTATTCAAGAGAGTCTATTCTATTGGCTTTCAAAAGCCAATAGAATAAAAGGGAGTAGCACAGCTAAGGAAAAGGGGGAAAAAATGGCAGACTGCGTTGTTTGGCGACCCCCGTGAAATGGTCATTCGACCCCAAATGGGGTCCCGACCCACAGGTTGAGAACCACTGTATTAGGATAACCAAACCCAAGTCCTTCATATGTTTTTTAGTTGCTCTTCTCTGAACTTTTTCCAAGGTCTTAAGATCTTTTTTGTAATATGGTGACCAAAATTGGTTGCAGTATTCCAGGTGTGGTCTTACTAGGATTTTATAAAGCGGTACTAATACTTTGTGTGATCTTGATTCTATGCCTCTGTTTATACAACCCAGGATTGTATTAGTTTTTTTGGCTGTGCTGCACACTGCTGGCTCATAGTCAAGTGATTGTCCACTAAGACTCCAAGGTCCCTCTCACAGTTACTGTTTTTGAGCCAGGTCTCGCCCAATCTGTAGTTGTACCTTTCATTTTTCCTGCCTAAATGTAAAACTTTGCTTTTCTCCACATTAACATTTATTTTGTTGGATAGGGCCCATTGTTCAAGCTTGTCAAGGTCTTTTTCGATCCTGAGCTTATCTTCTGCAGTGTTGGCTATTCCTGCCAGTTTAGTGTCATCTGCAAATTTGAATATAATAGATTTTGAGTCTAAAGTTTGATTCCGACATTAATTTTCAGTGGCTCCTTTTTCCAGCAACAATTGTGGTAGGAAACACAACACTAACCATCATATCATGCCCTCTGCTAGTAGAGATTCTGGTTCATACTTTTGGCAATAACTATTAGCAGCTTAATCTAACCACACTCAACAGGCACATGTGCCTTGCTGGACAAGTTCACTTAAACATTCATGACTCAAGACTATCTGGAAGGCTGAAGATCAGCACTTACACTTCGAATTGTATCCCAAAACCAACTACAGACCTCTAAAATATGTTTAATGAAATCCCTTAAACACATGTCCAAGTACTTATTTTGAAAGGTTTTATTCTATTAGTTAGTTGCAATCAACCTAAAAAAAACTCTTCTTAATTGTATTTCAGCACTTCTGAATGCAACCTGGAGGTCAACTTGCCAACCAGAAGCTGAGGTGCTGAATCAACTGAAAAAAACCATATGATAAAATTAAAGGTACAACCCTGAACTAAAATTATGAAAACGTTCAGGCACACATTGAGAATGACATGCACATTGGTCCTGAAAGGAAATAACATGCCTAGCTCTGACCAGGGTACATCATTGATTTGAGGAGATTCAGATCACAACCAAAGTATATAACCTTCCCTGTAGGTATTTGAATTCTTTCATGTATTTAATTGAATGTTCGTTCTTTATATTTGCAGCATTAATTTTTAAAAATAGCATATCGGTTTCACCCCAGAAGTGTTGCTAAAAGACCATGTAATTTAAAACTAAAAATTTAAGATTTTCTTTTCTAATTAATATCAGCCCGGGAAAAACCTAACCAGCCATCTTATAAGATGCCTGACTTTAGGTTTTCTGTATGAGGGGACAACACTGAAAGCAATTACAATAGGGTTGAACCTTACCTGGGGGGTTCTGGAGGAACTTGGACTGCTGGCAGCTGAAGACACCATGCTCACATTGGGGTTCATACTCCTCTCTCTCTCATCCTGATATATACGATCTCGCTCTGTCTCAGGTAGGTTGAGGAAATTCTGCATTGCCCTCAGATTTACCAGGAGGGATTGGGAAGCTGTTCTAGGGTCTTCTTCTTTACGCAGTATCTCTGATAGCAATCCCTGGTTCAAAAAATTAAAAAAAAAGTCCAAGTCTTTTTAAAAAATATGTTAGTTATAATTGGCCAGGTTGCAGAGCTGAGACTCTTCATCAGATGTCAAAGCATATGGAATGTTTTCTAGAAACAAACTTTGTTTTCTAGAGACCATGGCTGATTTTAGAGCAATTGTATTTAAATTCTACTTTTCACTTAAGGACAACCCAAATACAAATGCGCCAAAGAGGCAAGTGGGTAGTAAGACACCACTATAACACTACAATTATAGCCAGGTGCCTAAAAACTATTAGCACTCTCGCTTTTTCTGCTTGAGGTTGCAAACATTTGGCAGTTCTATTCAACTTCAGGAATCTGCCAAGTTTGGTAAATTTAGTTCAGACATTTAAACAGCTCAGGAGACTTATGAAGAAAAATGTTTGGCAAGGTTTGGATGTTACAGTTCATTCACGGCAAACTGTCAATTCTTTCTAATGGGGAAAATGCTGCAAATATGAGAAATTCTTTAGATAATTCATCTTTAAAATTAATTTGGAAATTGCTTGCTGTCTCATTTAAAAAGTCAGGAGGTGGCAATGGTCAGATTCATCAAATACATCTCGATTGTTTGGGTCTTTTACATGAAAGAAGTCAGCAGTTCAATTGTACTATAGCCTGCATAAAGCCTTAGAAACCAAGCAAAGTCATGGAATATAAAAAGTTATGGAGCACATAGGACATAAATGTTACTGATTACTCTGACACCAATTTTAGCAAAGCAAAGACTTTAACAGAATCTCTAATCATTTGCTGTACTTTTGTGTTCCTTTGTCCTAGAGAACTTCAAGTAAAAATTCCTTCTTATAGCAGAAATCATAATTAGAAAATAACTCCTAATTGTGCTGCAAATAAATGGTACAAATGCCACCTAAATGTTACACTGTCCATCCTCCTTCCTTCTATCTGCACTCTGCATAGAACTTCAACATACTGCCTACTCCTCTGAAACACCATTCTCAGAAGGGAAAATCATTTGCTGTATTGTTTCTAGGCAGGAAAGCTTAATACAGTTTATAGCAAATTAATGTGCCCCAAGTTTATTTCAATATATAAAATTTCCCTGGTTCAAGATGTATGAGGGAAATGCTCACAATTACTTAATATGAGAAATTTATACATACACAAAAAAGTGAAACTGATAGTCTTTGAAGAAGCAGACTAGCATCACAAATAAATGACTACTAAAAAAAAAATTGTTGGACCAATCACTCTCCCTTAGCCTAATCAACTTTCCAGGGTTGTGGTTGAGAGGAAAAATAGGAAGGAACAATATGTAAGCCGCCTTTAGCTTCTGTATAAAAGAAGGGATATAATTCTTAACAAATATGCTAAGATATATAGCAAATCAATGAAAAATATTAAATAATTATTTCAGGCACAGATGCTTATTACTGTATATGTTAAAAATATTTGTTCACATCAATTACATGCTTCTGTTTTATTCATTGATAAAATGAATAACTGCTAACTACTGATTAGCCTTCTAAATCTGCTTCATGGCCCTTTTTAGATGCATAAAAAAGACAATATTTTAAAGTACAACCAAGCATAAGCACAGTAGGCAGATTGTCTTGAATAACAGATAGGACAAACCTGAAAAGGGGGCAAATCTGAGAGGTTCATAAGGATAAGCCTTCAGCAAGCCTGGGGATTCTCTGGTAATAAGGAGCCTATACATTGGTTGTCTTAGCTACCCCCTTGTGGTTTTGTTTTATTATTCTTATTGTTTTTAATGGGTTTGTAAAATGTTTTAATTCCTCATTTCCATATATTGGGAGCACTCTGGAGTCACTTCATGTGAGAAGGGTGGCTATATGAATTTGACAGAAATAAATAACTCTGCTTTACAAAGGAAAATTTAAGTCCAAGTCCAATAAAATGAATAATTAAATTTAATAACAGCTTTCTGAAACAAAGGACTGTACTTTAGAGCAGAGGTCTACAGTTTTTCTGTGGACCAGAGGGGGAGTGGTTTTGTATGCTGCCTGCATTCTGCGGAGGGGGCTTTCCTTATTTGTGCGGACCGGTTACTGGCATGCCATGGCCCGGTACCGGTCCGCGGACCGGGGGTTGGGGACCCCTGCTTTAGAGTAAAGGACATAAGGCCACTATAAGTATAAGGTACAAAAATATAGTGACTTGACAATATCCCTCTTTTATAGTTCGATTTTTCAAAAGTAAAAAATAATCGTCAATTAATCAACTACTAACTCAGACTTTTTACTTTGGTTGGAATTAGCACACTTCCTATTATGGGGACCGTAGGCAAACATTCTCCTTATTCTTATTAATAACAATAACACAAAAACTTTACTGGTTGGGCTATAAGTAGACCTACTCCAGTGCCTTATTTCTTACCAGTCAGAAACTTTGGCAATGAACAAACAAAATAACCTATAAAGGTAGTAGCCCCTTATTACTGTTGTAACCCAGCAATTACCATTTCTCAGATATAAAAAAATCATTAATCAGTTTTCTTACAATACAGATTACAGCTATTTCATTACATTTTGGTCTAATATCCAGCAGTATGGAAGCCTACTGACTGGGGTACTTGTTAATGTTTCCTTTCAGTAAATAATCTGTATAATAAAAAAGGAAATCATGTAGAGATCACTATGTTGACTGTATTTACCACTATCTTCTAGTCCTTGACTTATGATCACAATTGGGACTGGAATTTCCACTGCTAAGTGATACAGTCGTAAAACACGACAGCATGTGACTGCATCATTTAGTGATGGCAATACCAGCACTCTCCACTGCTCTGTTATCCAAACCGAGAATAACAAGTCATTAAGCAAGTATTCTTTCCAAGCCAAGCTATCCAGTCTTAGTCTCTCCCAGTCCCCAAGCCTCAGTAAAGTAAGAGACTGCTTCCAACTTCCCCTACTCACAGCACAAAGAGGATTTTGGCACTGTGGCTTAGGAGCTGCTTTTCACTTTTTTTTTCAGCACAAAGGACCTTTGGTGCTGTGACTCTTGAATGGCTGTTGCAGAGGGGGAGTGCAGTGTGAAGCTCAGCTCCAGCTTAGCCCATGGAGGATCCAGGAATATAGATCCACTTTTCTTATGAAGCCATTAGTGGAAAACTAACGAAGATGATCATAATCTTCTTGGAGCCAAATACTACTCTAAACCTATGGAAAACAGTTCAGTCTTACCAGTATGGTTATGCAAAACCTCACTTTTGAAGCAATCTGGGCAGAATGGTTATATGCACGTATCACTCCTGACTGTGTTAAGCTAGCAAGAGAACAGCACTTCAAATATCAGATTCAGAGGTGTCCCATGCAACCCTTTCTATTTAAAGAATACAAAAAGCGAAAAGAAAACTTGCAGAACACCACTGAAAATGGCAAAAAATAGGTGGCAATGAACTGTGAAGAATCTGTTCATGAGAAAATGTCTATGCTGATAATAGATGACAGAGGGATAACAAAGTCAATAAAACAAAGTATCATGAGAGCCCTCGTTTATATTCATATAGCTCTGAGTTGGTATACGCAAAAATGAATCAACAATCAGCATTATGAAATAAAAATAAAAATAAAAATAAAGTGATACTAAATAATCTCTTCGTCTTTTTCTCACCTGCAACAAATTAGGCTTTCAATATGCAAAGCATCTTCTTCAAGAAAAACAAATGATCATGATTTCATTTAATTGTAATTTAATGAGGCATGATTTATTCTTAAAGTGATATGTACCAGGTGCATGGCAAAGAAACCAGTCCAGCCAGACTAACTGTAGCATTGCTGTTTTTAGGAAATGCCTGAAGTTAGCTAGAGATTGTGTTCATTTCTGTAGTATGCAGAAACAGAGAATGGAAACCCACAGCATAAATTTATTTGCTTTAGAATTCCATTGGATATACACATATTTATTACATTTTTAAAAAAACCTGGATATCTATGACGGTAATTATGAATTTTAGAGCTCCAATTATGGATGCTGTAATCTATATCTAAAACTACAGTATCATAATTCAAGAAAGTTAAGCATTCACAACTGGACATAAGTACATAGTCTGAAATTCTGGGGTAAAGAAGACCTATGCCTACTTATCAAATATTTGTCTTTGCTCACCAAGGAAAAAAAATAATTTACATTTGTAGATTGGTTGTTTGAATAGGAATCATTTCCCAACTTCAACAACAGTATTTCAAAGACTTTTGCAAGATGATTGTAAAAACAAACAGAAAAAGTGTGTTACTTAACACAGAATTTGACTGTAAATAAGGCAGTTAACATTTGGTATCTCATGAATCCATTTACTACCCTTGAGAGTTCTATTAACTACTAGGAATTTTTCTGAAATTATACCTCAGTTAAAAATAGGAGGCAACTTGTGCAAATCCAGTACTGACAAAGTACTGAAAGTTTCCAGATAATACAGTCATTGGTCTCATTTAAGATGAGATGCATACAGATGAGAGGTTGAACAACTGCCCCTATGGTGCAGCTGGAACAATCTGGAGCTGAACATGCTTAAAATTATAGAAATGAAAGTGGATTTTAGAAGAGTCCTCCTATTCTAGCACCTCTTACTAAATTACACAACACCAGTATTAACAGTAGAAATCTTCAAGTTTTTGGGTTCTATAATCTCCTAGGATTTGAAATGGACACCTAACATTAGAACCATCATTAAAAAGGCACAACAAAGAATGTTCTTTCTGCATCAACTCAGGAAATTCAGACTATCCCAGGAGGTGTTGTTACAGTTCTACAGAGCAATTATTGAGTCTATAATTAGCACTTCTATAACTGTCTGGTTTGGTACAGCAACCAAACAGGACAGGTACAGACTTCAACAGATAGTTAGGACTTCAGAAAAAACTATTGCAACCAGCCTGCTTTCCATTGAGGACCGGTATACTCCATGGTCAGAAGAGGGCTGAGAAAATACCAGTAGACCCCTCACATCCTGGACATAAAGTGTTTCAATTCCTCCCCTCAGGATGC